GGTTGGAATTATGCTGCAGCGGACTGCTTCTTGTAGGGTGCGATAGATTTCCGGTCTTTCACAAGGAACTAGGCCGTCCAACAGGTGACTAATGCCAAGAGCTGTGCATAGTCACGGCTTTAAATTTGATCAGACTCCAGAATGCACCCATACAAACCAACCTCACGCCAACATCACATCAACCACAATATTACATCTTAACGTCGAATTCAAAATAAAATTCATTGTGACTAGCCGATTCATATCGAAGTTACACGAGATGTTTCGATATCCAGAGCTTCTACCCCATCTTACCCAGAATCCAATTCAAGGTATTATCAACAAATTTCATTCAGATTATTCTCGGCAGGGTCATCATCGCGGTAAATTTTACACTCAATCTACGTGAACTGAACTGGCAAATCAGCTCTTTACGTATTCTACACAAATCTACTTAATTACGTGATTAATATACCGGATAATGATGAAACAAGAAAATTGGAGTTTGTATTGGGAGAGATGTTTAATTGTATCCGTGCAAAAAATTATGATATGCTCGTATTTGAACACCTCACTGAATTGATTCTCAAAAATGAAGATGAACGTCATATCGTGGGAATTGCTGTCAATCTGGCAGAAACACTTTCATCTGGGCCAACCCTTCCTCAAGGCACCTTGCAATCCACGTCGCCACCAGTTCACAGTGGTGAAACCATCAATCGAAATATTGCTGAAGTAACGGGCTTTAATAAAAATGCCTCATGTCTCACATTAGCACTAGAAAACGAAGTTCATGGAAATGTAATGACTGATTTCGACAATTTCTGGGAAATGTTTTTTCTCAATAAAACATGGTCAAATCAAACTTTGGGAATATGGGAGAGTTACCAAAAGTATGAAATTGATGAACTAAAGAAACAGGAAGAAGGCCGGGCATTAGAATCTCTGAATGAAGGCACATCGCCGAACCATCCAAAGAAAGTCAACCATCATAAAATTTTGAACGAAGACATGACTGAAAGTGAAGTGTGGAACTGGCTGGAATTTTTCAGAGACAACTTCCTGAACCAGATTACATTTCCACTCTCCAAGCCGTCGGAAATTATTCCAGCTCTTACCAAAGAAACAAGAGACTTGCAACTGTGTAGCAAATACTGAAGAACAAGATCTAATCGCCAGATGAAATGATCAACCAAAAATTGGCAAGTTGACTTCCTCACAGAAGGTATCAAACTACCTAGCTCTCAGATTCACGAATGGAAGGATGTTAGAGTTCTGGGAGAGTTTACTAAACAGCCTGCTAGCTCTGAAAGGAAAGACAAGTTTCTCCAACTGTCTAGACTCGCGCTCGAGGTTTTTTCCTCACAGCCCCTACGCCACTTCGTACATGGGTTCTGCTTGTTCAAAGCACACTTTGAATTGTGGGTATTTAATCGGTCAGGCGCATATAGCTCGGGCTTGATAGGATTAACAGCTCAAAAGGAGAAGTTGGTGCGAGCGATATCCTCGTACTTGCTGATGAATGAGCAAGAACTTGGTATCGACTCATCAATTCAACAGTTTAACGGAAGGTCTTTCATTACAGTTGATGACGAGAACCTGAAAGAGACTAGGGTATTCGACGTCAACCCTGATCCTATATTTAAGGTAGGGACACTAGTTACTCGCGGCACAACCTGCTATGAAACTTCAGATAAAAACTACGTCGTAAAATACTCATGGATTAGAAATCCGGGTAAGTCAGAAAAAGATTTCTTGCTAGAATCCCGCGGAACAGAAGGTGTAGTCGAGTACGTCATGGCAGATGTAGTTTACAGGATAAGTGATCACCTGAAGGGACTCAACTTTGGCAAAGCAAAGAGCTGGAACATGCGAGGCCAAGACCATTTCATCTCTCTGGGTGAAGGTGTGCAGATCTCGCCTCTCATCCCCAGTCTGAGAGATCGAGAGCTCACCAGAATAGTCATGTTGCCTCGTGGCCGCAGTCTCCGTTCCTGTCAGACAGTAATGGAGTTTCTTGTAGGCATTCGAGATGCAATCTTGGGACACCAACGCCTATTTGTCAAGAATATACTGCATGGCGATATCTCGGATAGCAACATAATTCTGGTGTCCGCCGGTGGTGTGTCTAAAGGGGTATTAATCGACCTAGACCATGCTGTCAAGGTTGGAGAAGCTACTGAAAAGAACGACAATCTCAAGTTGACAGGCACCATGAAGTTTATGGCGCTTCAAAGACTTTACTATGCAGCAAAGTTCAGGAAATCCATAGCACGTACTTACCATCATGATCTAGAATCATTTTTTTACGTTTTTCTCGTGGGATGTATAGAGTATGAATATCGCGATGAATCGGAAGAGGTGAAAACCCTACATGACTGGTGCATTAAGAATATGATGACAAACTTTCTAACTAAGCTTTCCTGTGTAAATTTGATGCAAATTATCACACTCGATTTGTTTTCGCCGAGTTTTGTGGAATTGAAGAAATTAGCCACCAGTCTACGAACGGTATTATTTGGAGACGGAGGAATTGATTTCCAAACGCCTGATGACCACGAACGTATTTATAAAGATATGATTACGGCATTCAATAAAACCATTGATCAGATCAAAGGTAAGTTATTTTAAAGAACTTTTCACAGTAGCTGTTCCCTTTCACAAGTATCATCCTGACAAGATTTCCATTAATTAGAAAGAAAAATTCCGAATAGATACATAAACAGAAGATCAACAAATATTGTGTCATAAGATACCTGGATTGAGCTGGACACAAGTATATCACCAATCAGGCGTGAATAAGGTAACAAAGTACTTGGGCTGATTTTTTGTTTCAATAAAAAAGGGGTGGTTACTGCTGCAGAGATTAATAATAACAAATTTAATATAATCTACTTATTTATAATTGCTTCGAACCTTAAACGTGACCGTAGAAAATCTGATACCTTTATTTGTAACTTTTTATATCTCTGTTTTGGTAGCCTAAGCAGGTCACATCAGGTAATGGAGATAAGAGATAGAATTGCTCTATGATTCAAGTTAAAAATTGTAGTCCATTTATTGCGATCTTGGAATACAGCTTGCAGCGGAAGCAACATTGATACTTCTGTTTGTGGATCTTTATAGGTGAAATTTTTACCGGTTCCGCACTTAAGAAGTGGTACTCTTTGGCAATGAGGACCATTATTGACACGGAGAGTTCAAAGATCTATGTCTTTACTAGCAAAGCTTTTTTTTTAATTCATGAAGTGTATGCAGCCTAACTAGCTATGACACAATATCAAAGAAAAGTGAATGATAGATGACTCGATATAAAGGAAGAGAACTCTTGCCTTGGATTTCATTTACAAGTACCACTGCGAAGTTATGGTGGCTTTTTCTTCACTCCAAGTCAACCCTCATCCATGAACACCCGCCCAGGTGAACATCTAAAAACCCTGAGTTATCCAGACATTGCTCCATCAACTTTCAACTTTTCTCCGCGTGAAATATGGTCTGAGATGTCTCCTTCCCAAGTGGAGTAGGTGCCCAGGCTACCCAAACCATACCAGAGAACACCTCCGTGAGTCGGACCACAAAACTTTCCATCGTTTGCTTGTTTTTATAGTGTGAGCTGCACTCTCGCAAGCGAAGTCTTGGCGCGCACAAAGCTCAATTAGTAAAACTCTTGCCAAAATTCGAGACTTAACGCCCGTCGAAACGCATCCCTCTTCTGCATCATCTTGTAAACTTGTCCTGATCCCTCTCACGTCCATCCCAAAGAGCTTTCTCCCAGATTTGTGCGCCACGCTTTGCTTCCTCCGTCGGGTATAAATATCGGCGTGGGCGTGTATTTAGTGGTCAACTGAGGCCAGAGAAAGTCGACGAGAGGTATGGTCATTGGAATGAGGATGTACTATGTCGTACTTGTAGAATTGACGAGACTAAGGTAGGCGTCAAACTCGTTAGGAGCGAAAAAACGACGTGGAGGAGTAATTTGAATTTTTACCTCGTGGGCCAACTTCTTTGATATTGCGAAATTTGACTGAACTTGGCTTTGGGAGAATATTTCACTCCCAGGTTCGTAGAGGACACCGCGTACAGGTGTTCAGTCTTTCCCTCCACATCCACCTTAGTAGGTATACAGAGATTACCTTAAATGATATTGGATTATTCACCACACGTACTGTCAATTGTTAGCCCGCTCTTACTGTCTAAGAAACATACCCAGAAATATCTATAGCCTGAAGCTAATGCTTCTAACCAATATTTATTATCTTAGTTCAGTATTTCAACACGTTATCAGCATCATCCGTGTCGCTAAGTAATTACAGGAATGGGTGAAAAAGATGTCAGGTCAGTTAATGATAACTGCAAGTCAGATTAAAGAACTCATTGACTCCAATCACGTTTATACCGATGATCTCGACGAAGAACTGATCGAGAGGATAAGAGCTGCAGCGGACAAAGAAGCTGAAGAAAATATTCCGTCGGGAGTTTCAAAGCGCAAGGGAAAATCTAGAAGGTCTATAGTCCCGAGGTTTCCATCAGAGTGGGCCTCTTCCAGAGAGGCGTTTTAAAGAGCCCTAAGAAACTTTGAGTTTACAAATTTAGGAGAAATTACAAAAAGGGACTTATCTATGGATGGATCCAAATTCAACCCGATTTCTCCATTGCTAAATAGAAGGGACACTTTATTGAACCAATCTACAACACCAAAAAAGTATACAAACACAAGTAAATCTAGTGTGACAAAAATAAGTAACAACCTCTCCATAATCCCTCGCGAAGTAACGTCTATTTTTCATGGTTTTGATAAGCTAAATGCAGAAAATTGGATTACGTGGAAAGGACATATGCAAGATAACCTTGAGATATGCAACCTTTGGGAAATAGTTATTGGGCAAGAAAAAAAGCCGATAGACATATAAACCCATGAAGAAGATGATTGGATAACTCGCAAAAGAATTGCAAGAGTAATTATCAAAAATTCTTTGGGCCCCATAGATTACCAATAAGTTCGTTTTGCAAAGACAGCGGAAATGGTATGGAAAGTTTTAATGAGCCTCCATCAGTCAACAGGCACACAGACAAAAGTCGACATGATCTGGAATTTTTGGAGTAAAAGATGTAGCAAAGGCGCCTCTGTACGCGAGCATATTGGCCACATACGCTCTCTACACATAGAGTTGGCAGAAACAGGAATCATAATTGAAGTTTACTTGGTGGCTATATTAATGAGCGAGTCTCTTCCTCCTTCCTATGACAGCTTCGTATCCACAATATTCGCTGGAATTAGGGATTTGGAACAAGCAGACCCTAACTATGTTGCAAATAAAATTTTCGAAGAGGAAATGCGTCGGAATACTAAATATGGAGATGTGCATATCGTGTCTCAGAAACATCACTACAATTGTAAGAAGCCAGGCCACCTCAAAGACTATTGTTGTAATAAAGGAGGTGGAAAGGAAGGCCAAGCACCTTGGAAAATAGCTAAAAAGAAAAAGGAAGAAAATGATGTAAAAATAAAGGGACAAAATCAAACTGTTCAAGTAACGGATCAAGATGTTTTTTATTTTAGTAATATGGTTGAAGAAGAAAAATCTCCAAATAAATATAAAGATTCTACCTTTTACTCTTGGTCCTGCAATTCATGGGTTGCAGACTCCGGTGCTAGTGCTCATATTGCCAATCAACGAGATATTTTTGCCACATTTACACCTTGTATAAGAATACTCAATGTCGCGGGTGGACTAACTACAACATTTGAAGGTATAGGTATGATAAATATGCAAGGATTAATTAACGGGACAGTCAGACATTTTAGGTTACTTGATGTACTTTTTGTACCTACCACTCGATTTTGTTTAATATGAGGACCAAAGATTGATTGGGCAGGTGGTAGGCTTGAATTTGGGAATGGGGCCTGCAATTTTTGGAATAGTAAAGGAATTATTATTGCAACTGGTGTATTGGATGGAAATTTGTATAGAGTAAATGCCAAAGCTGTGGTATATCAATTACCTATAATCAACACAGTAACTGTTCCAACTCTTTCATGGCATGAGGCACACAAATGCCTGGGTCACATCTCACTGTCTTCGATGAATCTGTTATTTGAAAAAAATACAGTGGACGGAATACAAATAGATCAAAACGAACCGATCCCTTCATCACTAAATTGTTAAAGTTGTATCGCTGCCAAGGCGCATAGAACACCATTTCCGTCACACGCCCAAAAACGAACCAAAAAATTCAGAGAATTAACACATTCTGATGTCTGGGGATCCCCAAATGTAAAGCATACCCCTGGAGGAAACCAATACTTCATATTGTTTGTTGATGATCACACAAGATATATCACAGTTAAGCTTAAGAAAGACAAGGCATCAGTTAAACAACAGTTGATGAATTATTGTAACTTTATAAATACACAACATGGAAACTGGCCAAAAGAAATAAAATCGGACAACGCTGCAGAATACGAGGGAACAGGACACTGGCTAGAGAAAAGGTGAATAAAATTCATACCATCAGCGCCACACTCACCACAACAAAATGGCGTTTCTGAAAGGATGAATCGGACTCTTTTGGAACTAGCATTTCATGGATAAACGTGGCGGAAACTAGAATGGTGTCTCATGGGGAGTTTCATTCTAAAACACAACTCGGGGTTAGATCAAGTTCTCAAACAATTAGGACAGGCTCAGGAACATAGGGTCGTTTCATAGGGATTGCGTAGTAATACTGTTCGAGACAGAGCTTAGGGCTGTCCTATTATCTGATGTACATATATACCCAGCGTGAAGGAGTATTCTACTTCACGCAACATCTTCTGTTTATACTCATACCTATTTTTCACTTACTCATCTCTTCTCTAAAGACGACCGCCGTTATTGTACCCTTCTCACCTACTACTTATTTTACCTTTACTTCTTACGTGAACCCTATACCTAACGCTGAATTTATACCTCCTACTCTTAGGAATCACCACCATACTCCACACCTGTAACCTACTTGTACCAAACTCGTACCCTACGGAATACTAATAACACGGCTCCTTGAGATAGCACGGGCAATGAAGATTGAAAAAGAATTACCCGAATACTTGTGGGGAGAAGCAGTTTTACATACTTCGTGGACCAGAAACCACAGTCCGACTGCTGCATTAAATGGGAAAACTCCAGTATAAGTCTCGACAGGAAATCGTCCAAATCTCTCAAATATACAAACATTTGGGCAAGAGGTGTATGTCTTGAAAGAAATACCAAGACCAAAAACACAACTAAGAGCAAGAAAAGTGTTATTCACAGCTTTTGAAGATGGCTCAAAAGCAATTAGATTCTATGATGCAAAAACAATGAAGATAAAAATTTCTCGTAACTATAATTTTATTTATGGCCAAAATAATGACGAGAATACTATACCTAATGAAAACTTAGAAGGAAATTTCATGAAGAAAAAGCTTATGGAGATAAATAAGGTAATATTAAATGCCAAAGTTCATCAAGAAATGACGAAAATAGAAACTCCATTGAAAACATTGAAAATTTGGAAATAAACATAAGGGAGCTGAGATCTAAAACAAAAACAGGGGGAAAAACACGTAAAAATTATGCGGATTTGGTTGGATTTAACCCAAGACAGCATATTTGTGAGCCTAAAAATGGAAAGTTATTGTTATCGACTTTGTAATCTCGGACAACAGGCATAAAATAATTATGGATTATCAGATGTCGATATGTGTAAATATACTTTAGGTATTGCAAAGAAAATATAGTAAAAGTGTAGATGTAAATGTAGATGAAAGATAATTGATTATATTAAAAGATGTGCTTATCATAGAACCTACCCGACTTCACCTCCGGTCCAGGTCACTTATAACCTATCTATCCAAAGTATTCATACGTCATCCATCCACTTAGCAACACATCAAGACTTAATTGTCAAGTTAGATCTAGTTACAGTCTTGTTTACAGAATGTTACGTTGATGTTCTCGATGGTAGTGTTATCCTATGCCAAACATGTTCCATGCATCTACAGCCCTGAGCCGTGTAACTGCTAAACATGCACTGATGTAACAGTTAAACACACTTGTATCAAAACTGAACCTCTCACACTTTGAATCATAGACCTTCGGATTATACTCCAAGGAGAAACTGTAGCTTGAAATATATCCGAGCATCTCTGTATATTCCTGACCCTGGTCTAATCCAAACATATTGCATACATCTATAGAAGGGCGAAGAACTGGAAATTATTATATAAATTCGCCCTATTTTTCGAACGTTGCACATGCGCTAATGATTAAAAATGGAGATGAGAATTTACCCAACACAATAATCGAAGTGCGTGAAAGACAATACCATATGCAATGGGAAGAGGCAATTCAAAAAGAATCAGAGATACTAACGAAAAGAAAACCTGGGAACTTGTGGAACCACCAAGAGAAAAAATATATTAGGTAACAGATGGGTTTCTAAAAAGAAACTTGACAAACATGGTAAAATTTCAAAATACAAAGCTCGACTTGTTGCACAAGGCTACAATCAGGGTTACATTTATGATTATTCAGTGTCTGGACCTCTGTGATTGGTCCGAAGTGTGGGTATTTACGCACGGCGGCCGACAGCACTAGTGCCTCAGTACCCACACAGGATAATTCTCCATAGATAGCTTACATAGAGAAATCAATCAAGAAGTAACCAACCACCATCCATCTGCTAGCAGATTCAGCCTGTGCCAACATTCAGATACATTCTCTCCAGTTGTTAGATTTGATTCATTTCGTCTTGTTCTAGCAGTTGCGGCTTATCATGACCTAGAACTGGGGCAAATAGATATTAAAGGAGCTTATCTCAATGGGAACTTAGGGGAAGAGATTTATATGAAACAGCCCAAGGGATGTGACGATGGAATATGCAGGGTTTGTCAGTTGAAGCACACATTATATGGGCTAAAACAATCTGGCCGGGAATGGAATAAAATACTAAAATTGTTGGGAGGGTCTGGTGCACTAGTGCTTAAAGAGATAACAGGAAACGTATTGCATTCATTCTTGTGGTTCTACTTCTACTTGGTGTTCTCTGCGGGGAGAACACATATCGTGGTGTGTGGGAGCTAGTCCCATATGGGCTAGCTCCACCCAGTACGGACTCACACCAGAGGGCATTGACACCTATGATCCAACACTGGCAGTCTTTTAAATACTGCCGTCAAAACCTTTCAACGTCAAGTCCATCGACAATCACTCCATCGTTCTCTGGACGAATCCTTCCATCCTGATCGTCAACTCGTTGTCATTGACGAAGCGCTCAAGTGCGCGGTTGGGGGATGCCTTTGTCATCGCATCAGAGGGATTGTCCTTGCCGTTGATCCACCTGATCTCTGCAATCTCTCGTCTCTCATATGACTGCCTCAACGCCATGATATCAATCATCAGGCGCTTCTCCTTCGTAGTTCCCAGCTTCACAAGGCATTCGTACAGGGAGAACGAATCCGTGCAGACAACCAGGGGGATAGCTGGTAGTCCCAGTCGGTCTGTGATCATGCGAACCGTCGTCGCGATGGACAGTCCGACGTCAAAGCCGTTCACCATGCCATAGATCTCGGAGGCTAGGACGCTTCGAGTGACGCGCTTGCACTTGGTCGAGCTCCAGTGGATGAGGTTGCCACGGATGTCGAACTGGTTATCCGTGCGGGCCGTCTCGGTGACAAGCGTAAGAATGAAGCCAATCTGGGAGCTCAGGTCCTTGTTGTTGGCGAACGACCCATCGGTAAATACCATGAGCTTGGCGGTGGTGAGGTCGATAGGCACGTACCTCAGTCCACGTTGGATGTTACCCATCTGCCACTTGAGGCGGTTGTTGAGCTTTTCACATTCTGCTTCATCCGGGTTTTGAGCCTGTGCAGCCACGGACAAATCAAATGACGCGTCTGGTTGGCAGATTGACGCGATGTACGCGCCGCGAGCGCGCTGTTCCACGTACCTCTGGGCACGGTCAGTTGCCCTTGTGTCTATAAGATCAATCTTGGTCCCTTGGCCTTTCTGCTTGAGTACTACGATCTCATCTTCCAGCGTCAGTTTCGCTCCGTTGAAGTCCAGTGGTGTTTCTGGAGACAGGAGCGTCTTGGGCTTGGATCGAAACTGCGCCTTCTGGATCTTTTCTTCTTCAGTTGTCGAGAAGGCGGGTGTGGCCAAGATCAGAGTGTCGTCAGTTTGCATTCCGATCATTCCAAATGTCGTTGGGCCGTGGTTGGTGATCATCAGACATGGGTCAAATGTTGACGTTGACATGTCCAGTTCGGACGTGTGGTGGCCTTGATACGTCGCAAACCAATGGACGCCAGCTTCAGCGATGCCGTAAAGTGGCTTAATGACGCGGATGATCGTGTTCTCAGGGTACTTCTGTTTCAACTCAGCAGGCAGGTCGGCCAATACAACGCGGAACAGGTCGGTCTGGGCCTGAGGGTACGCTTGCGTGATATCGCGGAGAGTCAGTGTCATGCCCATTTTCATCAGCGACGGTGCGAGGGCCAGAAGGAGGCGTTGGCTTGCGCGCTGGATCGTTGGCGATTGTGTCAGAATTGTCTCCTTTGCCTTGTCCTTGTAGCCTTGGATGACCAATCTGGATTTCTCATAGGGCTTTTCGGTCTTGCCTTTGATTTCGCGCACCATTCGTGACTTAAATATGCGGTGCTTGCCGTGATGAACTGGGTCATACAGCTCAAAGCTGAACACACCGCGGCCAATAAGGTCATCTATCTCCTTTGTGTCCGACTCTTCGAATGGAGCACCGGGAGTTGTGATGACACCATCGTTCCGCAGCTTGACAGCGAGATCGCGGTCGTTTTTCTCTTTTGTGCTTAGGAAGG